TTTGTATGCCTTGATGGAATGTTTACCATAGATTGAGAAATCTATGGACAAAGTTTATAATGTATAATTTGTTGTATTTTAGTTGCATGGTCCAGGCAGATGTACAGTATAACTTTTCAAAGATAAATTATGAGAGGGCAGCCTGCATGCAGCCTTTAATTACTTCTTATAGGCCCTTCCACAGATACAATTCTTTCCTCTTCCTACACTACAGCAATCATCAGTTACACACATATTTTTATTGAAGAATTTAATTACAGTAATAAAAAAAAAATACAAACTAAGTTTAGAGAAAGGAAAGTAAAATGAGAGAGTAAAAAGTGCAAAGGAAAAAGGAAAAAGGGAAAGGAAAAGGAAAAAGTGAAATAAAGAAAAAGAAAAGAAACATAAAGGAATGACTTCCAATCTTCATCACAAGTATAAACAAGTTTGATAGCTCTTTATAAGGTTAGAAACAGATATCTCTTCTTCCCATAACCCATATTTATCTATAAGCAAATCCATAAGACATAAACTTTTCAATCCTGGTGTCAGCAGTAAGTCTGTAAAGAGTTGCTGGAATTTTATAAAAACATATCTTTCTTTAACCTTGATCAAATAAACCAACTTCATATTCCTTCCTTTTACTTCTGAAAATCTTAATGTTTAATTCATTCAAATATTGTTGTGGGATTTGATTTCTCTTCAAATGTTTGTCCCATCACATAGGTATCTTGGAGGCTTTAACAAGCCTCTTTTGTAAATCCAATAAAAAGGACATCATCCAGGTCATTCTCTTGATTTAACATTTGTATTTCCCCTTTAAATTTTAAAACTTCAGCCAGCTTCTTTTGTATATCCAGTAAAGAGTTCTCAGGGTCTTATCAGGGTCATTCTCTTCACCTGTCACTAGTATTTCCATTTTAAATGCCTTCTCTGTCTTGTATTCCACACTTTTTTTTTTAATCCAATATTTCTGATTCTACTGTTTCTGCATCGAACAAGATTTGTTTCACATCAGTCATTCCTTCATTAACATCCTTTAGACATAGTCTATCCATAGAAGCAGACTTTGTTACTGATATTGTGGCTACTAATTTCTGGCCTCATTCTTTAAAGATCTCATTTAATATTTCAAATGTTATAAGGTTTTGTGTCATTTTGTAAATCCCAGTCCTAATCAAAACCAAAGAGAGTTTTTTTTTCTTTTTTCCTGGAATCCCCTCTATATGCAATTTACAACATAAAGTCTGTTATGACTTATAGTAGACAAAATAATTTTGGTTCCTATGAAAAGCTGTTTATTTTATATAGTTAGTTCCAAATTCTTATAGTAAAAGTTTCAATATTCTAAACTTGTCTGGACTCTTAATCCATTCATAACTTTCTTGGTTCAAAATCTTATTTAACTTTGTGCCATTTATTTCAAATTGTTTAAGTTTTTAAACTTATAGATAATTTTTCTTTTGTTCAGAAAAGAAGATAGACTCACCAGGTGGCTTTTCGAACTTATCATTGTGAAGATCTCTAATAGCTTTAAGATAGTTAGATAAGCAAATTCCAAAAGTGATTAGAAGCAAGGTTAGTGTGATGGAATGGAATTATGAAGGCCACACTCAGGGAGGCAAACATCCTCTTTCGTCTCC